CTAAGTTAGTTATATTCTTTTGCAAGGCACTTTTATAACTTGATAATCATGCCTTGGAGTTTCAATGTAGTGGAGAAATATTAACTGAGTAAACCCATAGTTGTGCCTGAATCCCTCTCCCTTTGTGTTTATGTCTAATGATATGTGCATACTTGTCTGTCCATGTGTCTTTTTGTGTAAGGGTGGATGCAGTGAGTAATTTTTTATCTTTGATGGACTAAAAGTTCCATTATCCCTAAGTTGTATTTTGTGGTTGATTGAGAAATAGAGAATGCTATTGGCTTCAGTTTTCAACATCTATGAAAAGTTTGTGTTCTTTTTTTTTTTTCCCCCGGGGGGGATTCTCAGTCAAATGCTATTTCAGTTCACAACAATGAGTGCATGAATATGTCTTAAAAATACTGAGATGGAGCCCATTTTCATTTATTGGATTTTGCTGACCTTTTTAAATTGTTCCTCCACCTTCTGGGGGAGCTGGGGTGCCTTCTTTGTTGCAGTTCTCTTGGTCAGAACTTGGAAACCAGTACCTACGTTTGGGAGATTTGCTTTGCAGTTTTCATTTCCATCTTTGGTTTGGTGTTGTTTTCATTTCTCATTGGAAACATGCAGGTTAGTGCCAAATGTTTCTGGACTAACTATATATCTTGCAATACTGTTGGCAATCATATATGGTGAAAACTCCTAGTTTTTAGGTGTTCCCCTCTCTCCCGCCCCCCACAGGCAAAATGTGAAAAAAAAAAACAAAAATGAAAATAGAATGAAAGGAAATGGGAATTCCGTAGATCAGAGCATGTGCAATCATGGTGAGGAAGGCTTAGTACTTGACATACACTGAATGTTTTTAGTAGTGATATACTGTCTCGTTATTATTCTTGATTATTTTCCATTCAGTCAAGTGAAGCCAAATTTTCTGTCCTAGTTAGAAATATCATAGGACGTGAGTTCTTTTTTTATTGGGCGGACTGTATAAATGAGCTTCTTTATATAACTAGTTAACCACAGTGCTTTTGCCTGGGGCAGGGGGTTGAATGATAGGGGAGGGAAGTTGTCTTAAGTTTGAATTTGCCATGCAAAGCTCGTTGCTATCGTTTGGTGCCCAGATCATTTTTTTTAAGATTATCATCATCTAGGTTTTGACAAATTAAACATGTTTAAAACAGACATACTTGCAATCAACAACTACAAGATTAGAAGAGATGAGAGTGAAAAGGAGAGATGCAGAACAGTGGATGTCTCATCGACTACTCCCAGATAGTTTAAGAGAGAGAATCAGACGGTATGAACAATACAAATGGCAAGAAACCAGAGGTGTTGATGAAGATAATTTGATCAATAATCTTCCCAAGGATTTGAGAAGGGATATTAAGCGCCATCTTTGCTTGGCTCTGCTAATGAGAGTAAGTTTTTTCACCTAATAATATTCTTTTAAAATTATTGCCCTGCGATCTTTTGTTCCTTTCACACGTCCTGCCATTAGGACATTAAGGGCCTGTTTGGTTTATGTTTTCAGAAACAGTTCTTTGTTTTTAAAAATAAAAAATTAAAAAACTTGTTTGGATAAGTATTTTAAATCTAATTATTTCCAAAACTGATTTATTTCTTATTTTTTAAAAAACAAATAGATACATTTTAACGTTATTTTCATTTTATTTTTCTTATTTTCAAAATATATTATATTTGATTATTGGAAACTACAGTTACCTTAATCAATGCTTTTTATAAGCTATCATCATTAATTGTCAGTAATCATCACTATTGGCCAGTATTTTAATTTTAAAACTGTTTTCAAGTTAACACAACCAAATAAATTTTCTTTTTGTTTTGTTTTGCAAAGCAGTTTTAAAAACTGTATTGCAAAACATTTTTTTTTTCAAAAAAAAAAATAGAGAACAAAAACCAAACACGCCCTAAGTTTCTCTGGCCACTTCGTCATATGGCTTTGGCAAATATTGTCTGTTCTCTGAAGTCACTTGTTTAAACACATGCTGGAGCTGGATCTTTGAACATTTTGAAGGAGTACTGTGTCATCTTTTCATTATTAGTTTAAAAACAGTTCCTTGTTCTAAGGAATTGATTAGGACTGAGAGATACTGAAAGTAGTTTTGTGTGAAACAGCCAATAGTTTTCGCCACCTTTTTTTCCCGCATCAAAAGGAGACTATAAGTTGTCTATGAGCAGACATATCAGGGTAAAGAGGCCCCATGTTCTTTTCATACAAAAGTCGCAGGCATGCTAAATTGGGGCTACTCAAGACTCTTTAACCTATAGCTTGCCCTTGTCATTCTGCATTTAGCCAGTTCGCTGCCCTGTTTTCTTATCTCTGAGTGATCCTCCCCACATCGATAATTCATCAGACATGAGACCCCTGATTCAGTTAGTGAGGCTAGCCATAGGAAGAGACGAGTTGTTCCTTTACGCACCAAATTCAATGGCAGTTGCGGAGTTTGCTTTGTGCCAGATTTTTTTGAACCCAAGTTCCACGCCCTCTCCAAGCCCGTGCACAGCCCCCAAAGATCAGTGCACTGTACCCTATGTGTTCCCACATTCCTTTGTAAAGCCCTGTATCCACTATCCGGTGGGATCCCCCCCCCCCCTCAAAAAAATCCTTATTAGTGGAATTCTTATATGCTTCCTTCACATTGATATGTTTTATCTGAAATAAAACCGATCTTCATCGCGTTGACAAGCTTTGAAGGGTAATATGATTGATTTTTTATCCCATGTATTGTTAGTAGTTTTGGGTGGAACGGTAAATGGTTATTTAATCCTAGTTTGTGGAATTCTTATGTTTCCTGATGATCGATCTGTAGGTAATCCAATAGATTTAGATGCAGAGAAAGGCTTGTTTTTTATTTCCCCCCATAAATTATTAGTAATAATTAGAACCTGCCTTGTATGAATTTAAGGTGCCTATGTTTGAGAAAATGGATGAACAACTGTTGGACGCAATGTGTGACCGTCTCAAGCCAGTGCTTCACACTGAAGAAAGCTGCATTGTTCGTGAAGGAGACCCTGTCAGTGAGATGCTCTTCATAATGCGAGGCAAGCTATTGACCGTGACTACTAATGGCGGAAGAACAGGCTTCTTCAACTCCGAATACCTCAAGGCCGGCGACTTCTGTGGAGAAGAGCTTCTCACATGGGCTTTGGACCCTCATACCTCGTCCAATCTTCCCATCTCAACCAGGACCGTCCAAACCCTTTCAGAAGTTGAAGCCTTTGCACTAAAAGCTGACGACTTGAAGTTCGTGGCATCACAGTTTCGACGTCTTCACAGTAAGCAGATTCGCCATACTTTCAGGTTCTACTCTCAGCAATGGCGTACGTGGGCTGCATGTTTCATACAAGCAGCGTGGCGCCGCTATAGTAAAAAGAAGCTCGAAGAGTCTCTTCGGGAGGAGGAGAACAGGCTGCAAGATGCTCTGGCAAAGGCAGGTGGTAGCTCTCCTAGTCTAGGTGCCACAATATATGCTTCTAGATTTGCTGCCAATGCACTCAGGGCCCTGCGTCGGAATGGCTCTAGGAAGACAAGGGTACCGGAGAGAATACCACCCATGCTGCTTCAGAAGCCTGCTGAACCTGACTTCACTGCTGAAGAGCAATAGTTGTATGGTGTTCTGGTAGGAAAGCCAGTTTATTCAAGTATAATATATCTGTATATTATGTTTATGTGATGTGTGTATATTATTTGGGATTTTCTTAAACATTTCCGATATATGAAATTGAATTTGTGGAATCAAGTTCCCCAACGATGGCCTAACATCGTGCATTATTTGACTGGCAAACTAGTTTTTATTTAACAAATGCAAATACATTTATCTAAAACCCAAAAAAAAAAAATATAAAATCAAAGATTAGGCTGTATTGATGTCAATTGGATGCAGGCCTTCTGCAATAACAAAAATATAAGAAGGAAGTTATATTGGTATAAATAGTATAACATCTTATAAATAAATTTTAAATTTTATTATATCTCCTCTAATATGGGAAAGTGACAAAAATATTCTTAAAATACACAAATAAAAATTAAATACTATGGAATGTGACTGAATTATTGACTATTATATATTAAGAAATTACTTTGATTGAATTATTAACTAAAACAGAATAGAAAATTACTCTTTTACAAATTTGTCAATCCACTACAACTAAAATAGTCATTTTCAGAAAAATGATCATTTTTCAACCTATTTATAAATTACAAATGTTCATAAAAAATAATTTTTTATTTTATTTTAGTTAATAATCCAACTTAGTACTCTCTTCAATTCAAAATATAAACAGTTTTTTAAAAAAAACTCGCAAACCAACAAAGTGTTCATTATAATATTTTTTTTTAATCTTTAATTTCAATTACAAAACACTTCATAATGAGTGAGATAAATTTACACAAGAATGTAAGTTAATAACAAGTTTAAAATGAAAAAACAAAATTACATATATTAGATTACTTATTCTAAACCAAACTCAGTTGAAAAAAAAAATGTTTATATTTTAGAGTAGAGGGAATAATCATATCCTGACACAATAGTTACCAAGTAAATACATCATTTTGTCAAAATAAAATGTTAAACAAATCCTTTAGAGATAAAATAATAATTCATATTTTTGTAATACTTAACTGTCATTTATATCATGGCTCCAGTTTAATATTTTCTTAATATATTTTAAAGAAGATTGAGTAATTTAGAATTTTTTTCACTGAAGTGCTAATTGGTCGTCCCACGAATGGGCCCAGGTTGGATCAGGAAACAAGCCCAACCGAACCACAAATCAGATCCACCAGCAAATTTCTCCCTTACTCGTACCCAAAAAAAAAAAAAAAATCTCCATCACTAGCCTAAATCAAGTCCCAACTAGTTTTCATACCAAAACCAGAAAAAGTATTCCCTCTTGACGGCAACTCCAGCATTTGTTAGCGGTCTCACCTGTGGCTTGCTGGCATGTTCTTGAACATTCCATGGTGTCGCGGCTACAATGTGTACTAGCAGACACATGTATAAATCCAGCAATTGTTTCAACATAAAATAATTCGAAAACGAGCTCCAACATAATATGTATCGAACAACTCTGAATACAGTACTATCGTGAAATAGATTAAACAACTATCTTAAATTCTTAAAGCATCCCCAATACAATCTGAATCACCACTATACAGGTTCAAACAAGAAGCCATCCATAAAATAATCCGCACGCCATACTTTTTATTTTATCATATAGGAGTACTCCTATACATAAGCAGCTGCCAATGGGGTGCCATGAACCAAACCCAACTCTCTCTTTAGAAATGATGGCAATGCAAAAGCTGCTGAGTGCATCTGCAGAAGAAATAGCGGTCATCAGAATTCACTTGCAAAGTTAATGACTATCACAGCCAAATCTTGTGGCACAATCATGCGATACATTTTCTTAGAGACCATGGCCAACGGTATTCTGCCATATTCACTTTGATCTCGAGGAAGAAAACACGTTATTGCATCCAAGCAAAAAACCAAGGAGAAATGAATGGCACTAAGGGCCTTACCTGTGAGTTGTAGAACCTAAGTTCCCTTTGGTGCTTAAGAGCACCTTCCACCTTCTCAATGGGGTTGATGGGGTTTCTGAAGTCAACAGGCAGCCCCTCCGTGGAGCACAGAAGAAAACCTATCACACCACTGCATTTCCAGGATTTTAGATGATGGAGGAAACTAAATAATGTCCAGTGAGAAAAGATGATGAAAAATAGAAAAGATTTTAGCCCACATTTCTTAGAATACTCAGTTAAACAGCATAACATTTACAGCATCGAGTAGCAGACTTCGCTTTGGCTTTTGGGAGCTCAAAGCTTTTGTAACCTTAAGTCTATGACAATACTAAAATTCCTGCTTTCCAGACTAACACATGTTCTTTTAACTGAAAAATTTAACAAGGGTAGCAACAAAATTCAATTCCCATGAGGTTTATCCACCACTGTCAACACAAGAGTAAGACACGTAGTCGGCTTCTCTCCTCTGGAAGCCTCCTCCGCACCTTCGTTGAGTAAATACATAATCTGGACTGTCCAAATAGTCCAGATTTAATGGCTTTTCCCATTTTGTTACATTTTTTAAAACCAAAAAATTATATAAATGGTAAAAAATTTAATAAATCTGTTCACCAGTTTGGACAATCGAGATTTAACATGAATGGTTCACATTAAAAATTAAAAATTTATAAAAATTATAAAAAAATTTAATATCAAACCAGCATTATCTAGATATGCACCTCCTCAATTAAGGTGCAAAGGAGAGGGAAGCCAACTCAACAAGACACAGCCCGAGAAAATTAGAATGGTGCAGCCAAACATAACAAGAAAAGCGTTTGAAAGCAATAAAGAATACTAGTTCTTTATATCATCTATCAACAATTTGAAATCTGTGATTACCTTGGGTATGTTGGAACACTTGCCCATGCATAATGTACAGAGCCTTTAAATGTTTCTTGGCAAATGGAGATCATATCTTGAATAAGGTGTGTATGAAGCCACATACTTTCAGCCATATTACATAGAACTCCACCAGGCCTTAGTGCCTTAGCTATTGTCTCAAAAAATGGCTTCTCTACTAGTTCCTGAGCAGGACCTAAATTACACAAGTGATTTTGTGAGCTGATGCTCATCAAAAATACAAAAGGATCATAACAGTTAACTGGTTTCAGTAATCATAACATAGACTACGGGTTTGACAATTTAGCAACAAAACAAAGCAAGCTGAAAATGAAATTTCCTCTTAAAGCATGGATAAGAGTTCATGAAGGGCGGCCATAATACATGTATGCTTTCAGAATGAAAGTAAGCTTGAACTTTGGGGAACTTTCAAGTCCAGGTCAACCTTATCCAATCAGAAATACTATCCAATCAGACATACTCCTTCCAGTCCTATTTATAAGACACCGTCTAGAAGTAATTTTTTATCCAAAATATAAAACACTTTGCAATAATCAAACCACTTTTTTCAATTTTACCCTTTCTTGATTAGTGTGAAGGTATTTAATGTAATTGTATTATTATTTAAAACCAAGGGTAAAAATAAAAATGCATATCACTTTTTTATGATATCAAGAAAAAATTAATTACTCTTAATACGCATAAAACGATTGAAAGTGTTCTAATAAGAACCGGAGAAGTACTTACAATGAAGTGCAGAGTTCAAGCTCTAATACTGGTCTACAATATATATCCAAAGATTTATTTGGGACTATAACTATCAGGTTTAAGTATTTAAAGTAACATACATTTCTCACTGAATTTAAATAAATCATCAATATACAATAAACTGTCATACCCACAGGATCTGAAGAATCAACAATGATAGCATCATACTTCCCTTCTGAAGCTCGTCGAAGAAAATCAATAGCTGCCAAAATTCAATCGATGTGAATTCTACAATTCAGAAAACAGGAAATGGCAACTCCACAAATGAAAATAGGCCGGCAGATGATAGGAATTGATACCATCACCAAGATGAAGGTGTACTCGAGGATCTTCAAATCCAACAGCTAAATCTGGAAAATACTTTTTAGAAACCTGCAGAATAGCCATGGCAATAAGCCCTCCGGTTTATAAATGGAAACACAAGTAAAATGTGCCACCACTTACATCAATAACCATCTTATCTATCTCACAAATATCAATGTGTTCCACAGAGCTATGACGGGATACTTCCCTCAGAACCCCACCATCTCCACCACCAACAACAAGGACCTGAATTTACATTGAAAGGCATTTAGCACAATGTGAAACTGAGATGAGTAAATTTGAAGACAAGTAGATAGTTAATACACGCCACACAAAAGAAATCAATTAACTTAAATTTGCAGTATCATTTTGCCTCTTGGTGATAAAGACGATACTTTTAAATAGAAGACACTATATAACAAAAGAAATGGAAAGGAAGTCACAGCCAAAATGACTTAAAGCCAAAGCAGATTATTTGAAATCTAGCACTTCAATAAATTGAGCCCTGCCGAAATGGCCAAGTGCTCCCATATCTATCAGATAAATTTTGGTAGTGAACTGATAACACCAGTTCAAGGCAAGTGAATTCGGCTATTTGATTTCAATATGCATTAGGAATAGCATAATGCGCTCACAACATGGGAGAGTCACCTCATACGTCTGAGACATTAACTTCCTTTAATCTTAATTAATCAAAAGATCCTAAGATAAAAAGCATTTTATGATCTACACCTGCTTCTTTACCAACTTTTTTTCTCGTAATCAACTTTAAACTTCTAAAAAGACACTTTTAAACGTATCATAAACCGAAAGCAACAGCTCCGGTGAATAATACCATTAACTGCAATTATGCTATTCTATCAACATATTGTCAATTTCACAACGAACATAGCATCATTTCTAAGTCCACTGTTACTTTAAACAATGGAATGCCATGCCCCAAATAACAATTTTTTTTTGGTTGAAATAGTTTAAAGGGTACACCAACACCAGATAAAATAAATGAAGACATATGATCCAGCTAGATACCAGGTAAATAGTTTTATTTTACACATGGGAATGCCAATATCCTTAGAAGGAAATCATGATTTTGTAATTTCAACAAGCAACTACCAATTTACAATCCTTACCGGCACCAACAAAGAGATTTAACTAACACAACAAAGCGAAAAAATAACATCACAGTCCCCCACACACCCCACAAAAACGGTAAACCACTGCACTTATCCATGCAGCAACTTATGTGGGTATGATCGAATTAAACAGGAAGAATTGTTTTCACAAGGAAAGCACCAAATAAATCAAAAAAATGCACTACATAATACAGTGAAGAGAACTCATAGGCATATTCAACAAGAAAAAATGGTAAATCCTGGATATTTAATTCAAAGACAATTAGATTAAATGTATTACTGTTTTGGGGGATGGAATCGAACAAAGAGGAAGGTGAGCCATCATCTCCTGGTAAGCACATTCATCTTTCTCAGTCAACTGAACAATCCCATCAAGAACAAGCACTTTTCCATATGTTGATGACTGCAAACCAATACATTGTTGTTAATCACTTAGAATTGCTTATCAGAGAAATTCCAGTAAGGGAAAAAAACCAAACCTCAAAGACCAAGACTTCTTGATACTCTGACTTTTCCTTGTACAATATTTTCTCCACTTTGATTGAGTGTGCCTCCCCTAATGATAATCAGAAAGCTACCAGAGTTAGTAAAACACAGAAAGATACACTCTCGGCATTAAATTTCACAAATTTAGGAAAATCAAGGATATTGTTGAGATGTTCCAAAATATTTGACTAGATTTTAAGGACAAAAGGGCGTTCATAGAATAATGTGAACATGTGTTACCCAGCAATATCACAAAAGTAGTGAACAAATATAAGTGACATGTGGACTGAGGAGCAAAGCACTGAGGTCTCATTTTGGAGACAGAATGAAATGAAAAAAGAAAAAAGAAAAAAGAATTTCGGGAATGAAAAATGATACTCGTGTCCTTAGATTAAAAAAATTTAAAATACTTCAATTTTAATTACAGTAACAAGGACATAATAAACATTGCATATCTCATTCATTACGCAGTGGAAAAGAAATGCTTCTCCATCCAAGATACCATTAGGGGCTTTACCTACCTGGCCACATAGGGTTGTTGAAATAAACATATTTTCCAGATTTTTCTGTAATGTAGAAGAAAAAGAGACAAAAAGAATGAGTTATAGAAATCAATGTATAAAATATCAAGGTTAAGTACTATTACTTAGAACAAACGTTCCCCAGGGTGAAAGGGAGGAGGGATAAATCTAATCAAAAAATAAATAGCAGATAATGACCAGAGCAAGACTGAGATTCTGAGAACCACCCAGAAACAACAGTAGAATGACACTTTGCCTCAAGCTCTGGAGCAGAAGCCTTAGCCTTCAAACAACAGGAAGGAATTCCCTTCTCTGCAGCACTCATGTCACTCGCCTTCCCATCCATAATCTTCTGGCATTCCAAATCTCTTCCTGCGCCTCCCTCCATATATTATTCTTTTCTTTTCCAGCTCCAGTCTCTGAATAAGGAAATATAACTATCACATATAACTTCAACAATGATAATCCGATTCGCAAGACCAAAAACCAGATCCCGTAAGTTCAGAATACATCATCGCTTAAACTTTAGATATATAGCACGAAGAATATCTACCCAGCGAAAAATGGCAAAGGGACAAGAGAAACCAAGGGACAGCAGCGCAAAGCCATATCCCCCCCCCCGGGGGGTATTTTTCCTTTTGTCGACAAAATCAGGAAATATAAAGGTTGGGATAGTGGACAGAAGAAGCAAAGGAAGACCTGAATTGCAATAACAACGAAAAGATTTATAATTTGAGTATCAAAACTATGTATTCTGGCACCAAATAGGACATGCATAAAAGAATCTGCCCAAAAAAAAAAAATCGAAAGATAAAGTTGTTATGATGGTAATTTTATAACCGTAAAAAAATGTGCCTGTAATCTGTGTGGATATCAGGAAATCGTCAGAAACTACGATTAAATTTAAAAAAAAAAAAACATAAGAAGCCTCGGATTCCAAGGCCATGCTAAACCATTTAATCGAAAAGCTTAGACTTATTAGCTAATACGGTAATACCTTACACCAAGTTCGTAAAGTCTTTTTGACCGCCTATTAAATCGCAACAAGTACAAATTTCCAATATTACGCTGGGTGATTACTGCCTAACCATGTAGAAGCACTGGGGTTTAGAAAAAAAAAATAGCCAGAGAAAAAGTAAACCCAAAAGTTGCGCGAACCCCTGTTTATCCAAGCTAGAGATTAGGCCACCAAAAAACGAATGAGAAAATGTTGCATCATTTGGAAGAAAATCGAGAGTAACATCAATTAAATGTGGATTCAAAACGAAAAAAGACGACCATGAACAAGTTCAAGATGCTCAGGGAAACGGAAACCTTGCCTGACGTTAAAGGCAGGAGACTGTACTTCTCCGGACTTTGTAGCGAGCAGGGGCACAAGCGACCCTGGAAAATAGAGAGGCTCTACTCTATCACCTTCTTCGGCTTCTCTCGGCCTTGAGTCTCGACCACCCCTGCAAGCTTTTTGCGTGGTTTCGATGATAATGGAGTCTCGACACTCGAGCCGTATTTATTCGAGATTTTTCTCCTTTTTTTTTTTCATTTTCCTTTTCCCTGACATTTATTTATTTCTTTCTTTCTTTCTTTCTTTTTTTCTTATTTTTTTATAAGCACCGATTTTTCTTGAAATTTCTTTTCCACTAGTTAAAAAAATTTAAATAAATAAATAAAAGAGGCCGTTTCTTTTGTCCCCAGCATTTGATGATCACGTGCTTGTTTACCCACAGCAGGACGTTCACTTTCCTTAGTACAAGCTTTTAAATTTCTTAGGTTGTGGTCCTGTATTAAAATAAAATAAAATAAAATAATAAATTTATCTTTAAAATATAGATTTATGAAAGCTTAGACTCTAAATTTATTTTTAATATCATGTACTTTTTTAATTTTTAAAATTGATACAATATAACCCTAACACTCATAAATGTTAATTTTAAATGTTAATTGATCAAAATATTACCAGAATAACCTAAAATTTGAAAAAAATAATCAAAAAAGTTACAGAAAATCGCCATCCAAGAAAACTAATAAATTTTCTTTGGATAGTTTAAAATTAAAAAATAAGTAATTTTTAAATAATTTAAATATTTTATAAAAAAAATATTTTATACAGATTTTATAAAATACGAATATTGTTATGTTTGATTGCAAAAATGAAAGAAAAATTTGTTAAAAAATATCTAACTACAAATTTAATTGTGGAGATAAACTTGAAAATTTTTCTAAGAGGAGGTCCTTCATTGGCAATATGTTTAAATGTAAAAAAACTAAATTACCCCTAACAAAATCTCCCTCCCTGTGCAAAAATTTTCTCCTCCTTTAAGAGCTTATGTGGCCCCTCGTAAGCATTTTCTTCAATGGTTTTTCCATGGCAGGCGTGTGTGAGTGTTGTTTAGGTGTGTGAGCTAGTATTTTGGTGAGTGGTGCCATGCATTCACGATTTGGAGCAAGTGGAGAAATTAGAATTCGTTGACTCTCAAATGTAAGTTTTTAAGTTTGATGATTTTGCTTATTCTTATTGATTTAAGCTTTCAAGTTTATTTTGTTACAGAAAATCAATCCCAAAGGCCAAGTTTCCAACGAACATGACCTTGGAGGATAACGAGGGGAGGAATCTCAGGGGGGGAGTTTCAAAGCAGAGAGTTCGTGTCGAATATGAAGGTTCAAACCAGAGTAGGGGTGGGTGTGTAGAGGTTGAAGATAGGAACTGTGGGGATTGCAGTGTCGTGTAGAGAAGTAGCATTGAAAAAACTTGAAGGTGGAGCGATGCCCAAAAGCACCATCACCTTGTTCAAGTGGTAAACAATTATGTCTTCACTTCATTCTAAATTATGCTTAGTTTTTATCCCCTTTTTTATTCTTTCGGCATCAGTTTGTCAGGATTTGGAACCATCATATAAATTGAAATCTTCACAAACATATACATGCTTGTAAGTAGATAAAATTTGCCTTTAAACAAAGTGCATGTTGGTAACTATGAATGAGAAAGTCAATGAATCAAATTCTCTTAGAGTTTTGAGTAATGTGATAATTGTATTTGACCTTGCTTTTCTACAGAATTTCTTCCTTTAATTTTTCTACAAAATTTCCAAGTTACGCCTTAATATTTGAGTAGAACACGTGCAATTTATAAGGAAAATGACATTTAAGTCTTCTGTTCTAGTGGTAGATATTTGGACAAAGGATTACTTTGATTCTAAGCTATTTGTGAGGTTGCATTATCGCACATTGAAACATGTGGATGCTCTTGGTCAAGCTTGGAGTGAAAAGGATGTCGAGTGGCTTCTTATAGTTTACAGAATATTTGAATAACTTTATTGGTGCGTGATAGTTAATAATTTCATTATTGATACAAGTATTGCGGCACACGAGGGAGTTATTAGCTTGTTCTACTTCATTTTTTTGTTTCTTGGTAATTAAAAGTCATAGCTTTATCTATATTGGTATAGGTTCTTTATTTATCAAATATTACTTTGTATCAAGATTGGGCCTAGTTGTGTTGGAAAAAAATAATGAAATTAGCCACTTCTTGACGAAGAAGATGGATTATTTAAAGAATTAGAAAAAGATATGCAATTGAGCATGGGGCTCTTGGACAAAAATGAATTATAGAAAAGAACTTTTACAAAATATAATTTATTGCTTTGTAGTTGTAGTAGTTTGTAGTGATGAATTGTATATGAAAAATTATCCATGAGATGTAATAGCTTGCATTGGATGGCAACTTATGTTTTGCTTTGATATTTTGAGAGTTGGGACTAATAGATTGTAATTGTTACAAAATTTATATAAGTTGTAAAATATTGTATTAATTCCATGTTAATAAACTTATTCATCAATTAATAACCTGTATTCCTCTCCAATATTTTCATGCTTAATCTTTGAAGGGTGTATATTTTTTAGAATATCCATTTACATTTTCAAGATATTCATTGGAATTTTCACGAAAAATGATATTATTTTTAGAATATACTAAAGCATATTTCAATATCCTGTGCATTTTCATGAAAAATAAAAAAAGTTCAAAATATCCATTTATATTTTCATGAAAAGGATGACATATTCAAATATCAATTCCATATATCCTAAAAAATGTTAATGAAATTTTTAATCTCCAAGTTCTGTATTGATAAGGGATATTTGAAATAATTCATTATGAATAGTTGAATACAAGGTGTATTATATGTAAAATTTTGATACCAAGATTATTTTTTAAAAAAAAATATACATAAGTGATATTAGAATTTATGAAAGAAAATTACATTTCATTAAATATCAGCCGCATGTGATTGAAAAAATGTTGCATATGCTTCCAAAGGTATTCATAAGGGATTTTAACAACAGATATTCAAATATATGAAAAAAAATCACACTTCACTGAAGAGCAGTCGTATATTGTGGAAAAAATACTGCAAATGCATTTAGAGGAGTCTATAAGAGATCTTAACAAAAGATATTTGAATATGTAAAGTAATATTTAAATATATATATATATATATATATAATGGCATTTTATTGAAGAGCAATCGTATATCATGGAAGAAATATCGCATATGCATGAAAAAATGTCCATAAAAGATTTTAACAAGAAATGTTTGAACATGCAAAAGTAATATTCAAATATATAGAATAAATATCACATGTGCTTTAAACGTGCTTTGGTACTCAATAAATTAACATTCAAAGACCTTGTTTGACATACTGACATCAAAGGACCTTGTGTTAATATTGATATTTAATTATTGACAATGAAAGACTTGTGACATATTGATAACAAAAGGTCTTGGATAACATATTGATAGCAAAGGACTTTGCTCAAATTTTTTTTAAATCATTTAAAAAATTTTTGTGATTTAACCATTATCAATTATTGACAATGAAGAACCTTATTTCCAAAACATTTTCAAGTCCTTCTTAGCAATTAGGTTTTTGGTGGAGTTTTTTTTTTAGCAATTTTCTCAAAATAAAAAAGTGATAGTTAGTCAATTTCTTAGTAGAGATTATTAGTTAGTTATTTTTAAATTTTATAATATCTTCAAGGATTTCTATGTTATACAAAATAATTTATTATTTAATTATTTTAAAATTTCATAATATCTTGATACATCTCCTCATTTTTATGACAACTTCCCATATTTACTATTGAAAGTAGCTCTTTAAAATAATTAAAAACATACTCTCTCCGTTTAAAAATATAAAGTATTTTTAATCGAATCTCATCCCCAATAAAATAGTTACCTACTTTCAAACTAACCCCATCTTTCATAGTTGTCTCTATTAAATACTTTACAATAAATATAAAGTCATTCATCAATAGAGGTATTTTAAAAAAAATAATGATTACACCTTAAAAGGCTAAAAATATTTTATATTTTTCAACATTCAACTCTTTAAAAAATACCTTATATTTTTTAATGGAGAGAGTATTTTTTAAAACTTTGATTATTTTTAAAAGTTTAAATAAACACTGCCAAATCCTTCAAAGTAATTTTTGTGATTCTCAATTTTCGGCTTGCCCTGTCTATTAAAAAAAAAAAAAGTGATTTCTTTATGAAAAAGCCTGAAACAAACTCCGATGTTTATGAAGGGTTACTGATTACAAATCAGGAACTCCAATAAAGGTGTGGTCAATTTTATAATTTGGCAGGCACAAGGCAAATGGACATCCGAGAGTGGCCCAAACTATCGCTTGGAAGAAATCACCATGGATGGGTGACTCTTATCTGTTGACTAGCTGTGAAAAGCATTAGCGGCCTTCAAAATGATTGTTGAGTTGAGCATATGGCTTGGTACTGTAGTTTCGGGGAAGGTCGGGCTTGATATGGATTGTATGATGCTACCCCAGGCCACTAGCATGATTGACGTCAACAGCAAATGAATCATCTTTTTGGAAGGAAATGGCTAGTGCAAGTGTTGCACATCTATAAAGAATTAATTTTAAACAACAAATGTGCAAATTTCATGGCTCCTTTTGCTTTGTTGTTGAATATAGGGCCCCACAATTTGGAGCGACCACCTGATGATTTACTCACGCCATTGTAGGAAGATGCTCTACTCGTATCGAACCTCAATGCCTACATCAACGATACTTCCCCGCTATAATTAACAAGTTT